ATTTATATGTGGAGTGCTGGAAAATTGAAGGGGCTCAGTGTAGCGAAATTAAACAGATTTCCCACGAGATGCACTGCAGCTTTGCAATAGACACACACACACACGCACACACACACAACCACACATAGCATATGCAAGCTGAGTAAGCAGAGCATGTGCATGTGCGTTATATAGTATTTATAAAGTGAAGAAAGGCGGTTGCTCCCAGGGATTCGTTTGCACTTAAGGTTGAACTAGAATAAAATATTCAGTATCCAAAACGGAAAATCTTGCTGGAAATTAATTAATTTGGGGTAACTTCTCCTGACCCTCTGTATATAACGTTTTACTTGTCTTAGTAGCCTAATGTTATTTGCAGATCAGTTTCAGGATATGATGGCAATGGTGCCCTCTTTATATAAAATGCAGCAGTTCCAGCGTGCAGCATAACCACAGGCCTGTGTCATGGAGGTGACAGGAGAAAACATCTCCTCCCTCCCCCTTCTCTCTGTCTGGGTAATAAGTGATGCTGTATGGCTTAATTGCCTGTCATGTGAATGAATGATCCGGCCATTACAGTGTGGCATGTCGCCCCAGCATTTGTCTGCTACGGCACTTGGGTTCCACAGCAGTGGAGACGAGACGGGATCCATCTTCCAGCTGAGATGCTGCTGGTGTCACCCTATCTCTCATCTCTGTCTTCGCCAACCTGGTCATACACAGTGTCTGTCTGTCTTTTTATGTTCTCAATCTGCCCCTTCTCTCATTCTGTCTCTCTGAAATATTGGCATGATGGATCACTGCATCCACAAGGGAGAGGGGGGAACAGAGAGAGGTAGATGAAGAGAGGAGGGGGGCAGAGAGGAACATATAGGATCAAGAAAGGGAATGGTAAAATGAAGAGGGGGATGGGAGGGCATAAAATATACAGTAGGGTCTGCTGGGCTACTCCACATAAGGAGATATGATGTATTGCTATTGTATCCCTTTAAAATTTCCAGTGGCTTTAACATCCTCACTGTTGCCAAGCTCATTTCATTTCCATACAATTTCCTCTCTTCTGTCAAACAACTGCCTCCATTCACATCAGTTTTAATATTCTGAAAAACCATGACCGACAGCGACTCGAGGGCTGCGCTGGTGTGAGATTTGCTGGTGTGCAGCCAGCTGACTGAACCAAGCACGCTTGCTGGCGGAGGGGGGCTCCCATCCTTAACTATTCTCCTCACATTTACCTTGCAGTCCCAATTATTCAAGGCGGCGTGCACGAGCGCTCCCTGCCAGCCAGCTCCAGCTGTGAAAAGTGGGTCATGGAATTTAAAGGCACACAGAGCCTTATCATGCTGCACAGTCGCACTGGCATCACTTTGACTTGCAGTAGCAGCGGCAGCGGCAGCGGCGGCAGCGGCGGCAGCAGCAGCGGCAGCAGCAGCGGCAGCAGCAGCAGCAGTGTGGGTGCAATTCTGTTTCCTCCAGTGAAATCCACAAGGCTGTTTGGGAATGTGTGTCAGTGAATCAGAAGACATTCATTATCATATTCTCTGTGGGAATGAAAGCTGTAGCGCATTCACCAAGTGTCTCTCTCTGTCTGCCTGTCTGTCTGTCTCCTGTGCAAACTGGCCTATATTCTTCCACATGACTTACCTTTAGAAATAAAACTATATGAGCTTTGAGTTGCCGTGAGGTCGACTTGTTCCCTCACAGATCAAAGAAATAACATGTAATGATCATGTTACATTAAGTGTCATTGTGATTACCCACACAATGGCCTTTTAAATAAGTGTTAAATCTTTCTCAGAGATCAATGAACACCTTCTACCTAGCAACAATGTACAGTAGGCCAGTAGGCTAGTCCATATGGGGCTAGACATGCTGCAGAGAAAGGCTACTCATGCGCACAATGAGCAATAATGTCATACCCTGATGAGCTCTTTACAGAATCAGACAGTGCACAGGAGTGTCCTACTAAACCACTGCCACACTGTGTGGCGCTGAGGAGGAACACATTGATAACCATGATGCTCTAATATGCCCCTTGTGCAGAAACACAGGCATGTGAAAGCGCTCGCACACCGTGGACTATGCACATATCTGAATAATGGCACACAATCAGCCACACAAATGCATCTGTACGAATACAAGCAGATTGCTTCCTTTTTAATTTGGAAGAATTTGACATATAGGGAAATACACTAATTTGCTATCTTGCTGAGAATTAGATGAGAAGATCAATACCACTCTCACATCTGTCCTGTAGATATGCAGCCACAGCCAGCTGACTGTTAAGTTAGCTTAGCATAAAAACTTTTTCCCTCTGTATCTGGTATTTATGCTAGCCTATAAGATAACTGGTGGCTTACCTGTAACTTAGCCCAATGGTGTATTTACCGGCCATACATAAGAGTGGGTGGCGGAATCATCAGAAAAATGAGTTTCCGACTGGGAAAATTTAAAAATGTCAGAAAAAATGTTGGTAAACGACTTGACAAGTTTTTGATGTCATATATGCAGAAATATGGTGGACAAAAGTAAATGTTTGGTTGATGGTATAATACGTTTGGTTAATTATTAATTCATAATGCATATGAATTTCTTCTAATTTATTAGAAATATTTATTTATATTAATTTGTAATATGATGTTAGTTTGTAACTGTTAGTTGCTGTCCTTGTAGAGTGACGTAGATTAGTTAGGAAAGTTATTTATCAGCAGTAACCCCAATAATAAGTAACACAAATACTGTAAACAGCTATCATATATAAATACAGCATATCTTCTTTGTAGCATCTACTGAAGTTGACATCCCAACTTGGGAGACGGGACCATCCGAGGAACATGTGAATGCAGCATAACTCTCAACAAGAAAGCAATCAAGCAAACTAGTGCTTTCAATAGAGCCCAGAGAGACTCATCCTTCATCCATGAAGACACACAGGGGGATATGTGTTTAAACAGTACAGAGTCATTCTGCATTTTTATTATCAGCAAAAACAAACCACACATCACATTACATTTTAAAAACAAGAACGCTTATTGTGGATGTACAGAAAAACAAAAGTGCAGCTGAAAAACTGAATATTTTAGTCTTAATAATAATAATAATAATAATAATAATGATAATAAAGGTATAAAAAAGGAAAGTGTTTCATTTTGTGAAATAAAAACCTTTGGGCCAACAAAATGTTCCCTTCAACATGCTACTTTAAAAATACATGCAAATGTAAAGCTCTCTAGTATGGACACTTTCAAAATACTCTCCACATGAAATCCCATAAATTATAAAATATCAGCCTATTGCCCCTGAACTGTTTCTTGACAGAGAAAATCCTAAGGAGTACCTCGACATGAATCCTGGAAGCATCTCAGCTGCCTATAATGGCTTCCTCTTCGACTTTTCCTTCCCATTCACTGATCCAGAAAACACATGATCTCTTTAAATAAATCAACCAGTCTGGCGACACAGCTCCAGCCCTGTTCCGACCGAGGAGTGGAAATGCAAAGGAGGACGCCACTCTAGACTGCACTCCATCAATAAAGAACACACACATTTCTTTCAGACACATTTCTCTGGCATCAATCGACAGTGAAAACGCCTTTTATACAACCGAAACCTGGGAAGAACATCAAAAACAGCACCATTTTTAAAATTTCCTGGATTCTCTCCAACGTGACAGTCACGTTGTTTCAACACAAAAAGTTCTACAAAGTCGTACATGGTAGCTAAGTCAAAAAAGTATTTTTTGCTTGATTATAAGTTTATAATATCTATACTCTTTATGAATGTTTTCTCTGTTGTTAGCATGCAAGACGGGTGCTTTGCAAGTGTTATGTTAAAATCAAACATTGCCCTGCTTTTGTCTTTGGCAGCTGAGGGTATATATCTCTATATACTATATCACATGGCAGGTTCAGCTCTGCTCCATTCCTGTTGGTTCACGATTGACTGCTCGGAAATGAAACTGGGCCCAACCCCATAACAGAGTCATGATTGTACCAGAGCTTACAGGTTTTTGAGTGTGTTGGTTACGAGAAGGTCATTAACAACAATAAATAACTAAATCCACCTCTTAAACCTGGGATTATGCAATTACAACATATTTTCTGCAACCTGGAAAAGTCTGAAACATCCTACCGGAAGACGTTTCACAAACCTATCAAACAAATCTCTGTGGAAACGCTGCGTCACACTAACGCCTCCATGACGTCTAACATTTAGGATGTAATACTCCCAGTTTTGGCACACCTTCCCTTGCAGGACCTGACAGGTTTAAATGTCAAAGTTTCAAGTTGTCTTCAGGTTCTGACTCAACCGTATTCGCCTTTTAGGTTGTCAGTAGTTAAGGTTCAGTGCTGAGTAAAAGGTGAACTGATCCTGAATGTCTTTAAAGGCAACACCAACCACTATTAGAGAGGCTAGTCAGCAGAGTTACGTGAAGCCGGGTGTGAGAAACAACTAAAATGTTTGGGCTTGGTGCTTAAACCTCAACAACCAACTGATATGTATTCTGATGAGGGACAGCAATGAACAACATCACATAACATGATAAGTGAAAGGCTGCCAATCATACAGGTGTTGTAGCGTCATACAGAGAGCCGCAACACCCATCATGCCTCGCTGTGATGAAGAGCGTACCAGAACAGTGGGAAAAAAGTAAAAAAAAAAAATCTTCACACTAAAATGTCCCCACTCTTTCCAGATTTTACACATCACAAAAGGACGGAACTGATGTACTAACGCCTTGTGCTGAAAATAAAACCACAGATCTCCCTCACATCTCCCTTGCAAGCACTGACGGAGTTAGGATAAGGAGGTTGACTTAGAAGTAGGACAAAAATAAAAACTGTTGAAGACCACATTTCAATCACGTGAACAATAAATGGCAACATACAGTACATTTTTAAAAAGAAGTAACAGCGAAACACCTCAGTAAAAAAGAGAAAACCATGAAGCACTGTGTGTACATAGTGCTACAGCTAATTTCACACCTACTGCAGTACAAACTTTTTTTTTTTTTTTTTTCCCCCCACCACCTCCCTTTTTGAGATTTATCAGTGTTTTAGTCTGTATGGCTGTTGGGATTACAGCATCGGCTTGAAAAGTTTTAACATGGCTCTGAAATGTGGAGTTAGGTGGTATTCATGTTAAAGCACGCTTGCAGTTCTGGCACGTTGCAGGGTTTGACATTTTCATTTTTCACCACGTTGGCTCTGTTTCGCTCACGTACCTTTCAACAGTCAAATAGTATAATACACCTTGTTGTGCTATATGCATGGATTTTATGGAGTGTGTTTGCAGGTTGCAGAATAGTTACTAATGTTTTGATAAGTTATTGTGTGTGATGATGACAGTCCATGTGGGGTGGGTTAAGCAGGTGGAGCTGAGATGATCTAGTTTATGTTTGATTGGTGTTGATGTGAAAGCCATTATAGGCCCTTCTTAGTTGGTGCACTGAGTTTTCTCATTCCCCTTATCCTGCCCAGCAACTCCCGGACAAAGTCCTGAAGGGAGGGAAAGAAAAAAAAACAAGTTAGACTGACAGCTGCACTCATATGCTTTCACACATACACGCACACACACACACACACACAGGTGACACACATTTCTTTCTTAAATGATTTAACATACAATTACCAAACCGTTTCTGTTTGGTTTCAGCTGTATTGGGATGTGATCGACACAAGACAGGTCCCACATGAACGTGGGGAACTTAAGTAATTGGTTGCTGACTTCCCACCCCAGACTTCTACCTCATCTAACACTCCGCAAGACAGCGAATCAAATTCAAGAATCAGGCCCATACAACTTCTTCTTCTTCTTTTTTTACAGTCTAATATTGTAATCTGATGCAATATGACTGCCAGCTTCTCATTCATTACGATCCGACCGAAATAGATGTTCCGAAGTTGCTAGTGCCACGGGGAACTATGTGAGTGAAGGAGCCTGTGATGTTGAGCAAAGCTGACTGAAACATCCGACTTTGTGCTGCATGCATGTAAGACAAACAGCCAGAAGTAATACTAAAGGGAGGGAAAATAAACACTGCGCAGCAAACTCAAATCGTGATGGTAATGTCTTTTAAATAACAAGAAGGAAATAGTGGATTGTGAGACAAAGGTTAGTCAGTAAGGAAGGGGGGGCAAAGACATTCCTCATCTTGGGAGTGAGAGGTTGTGTGGAGGTCCATGACAGTGTGACTGCAGTGGGGAGTATGCTGGAATATAATCCCCCTCATTATACCAGGGGTGACACCGCTCGTGACCTAATTACTGATGTCTCCCCCTCCTCTCTCGCTGCCTCTGTACCTCTCCTCCTCCTCCTCCTCCTCCTCCTCCTCTTTCCTCTATACCCTGGTCTGTCGTTCTCCCTCTAGCTGTCTTCTCACATATCCTCTGGATCCCTCTATTCCCATCTCTTTGTCATGACTTCTATCCCTTAATTCCTCCCCTTCATCTCTGTCTCCTACTATAATGTGCATTTTTCCACCAGTGCTCTCACTCTCTTCTTTCATCATTCTGTCTTTCACTGTTTATCCCCAGCTGATGGCGTCCTTGCGGGAGTGTGTTAAAATGGCATCTGCGCTTCCCCATACTCAGCAGATTACAGTGCATGTGTGAGCATGGGTGTGTGAGCATGGGTGTGTGAGCATGGGTTTGTGAGCGTGGGTGTGTGTAGGTGTGACACATATAAGGCGGGTGTCAACCTGGGTGGCCACTAGACTAGCTTTGGATATCAGTGACCTTGTAGTGGTCGTCACAAGCTGACCTAATAACACACACACACACACACACACACACACACACACACACACACACACACACACACACACACACACACACACACACACACACACACACACACAGATGACAGATGGGGAGCCCAGGCTGGACGACATCACCGTATGTGGAGGTAATGTGATTGGTCTGTACCACCTATAATCACCAAAATAGCTTAACCCTGCCTCACCCCAACCCAAACCCTTAACACCTTTACACACACACATGCACCCATTCACATACTCACAAACATATTAAACATACTCAAGTCCCTTGCCAAGTAAACAGATACAGTGTGTGTATATGTCAAACTATCAATCGGTGTCCTTTGTGTGTATGTGTGTGTAGGTCTAAGGTCCTTTTAAACTCTATGTCGTATTTAGGTCAGGGTGTGTGCGTGTGTGTGTGTGTGTGTGTGTGTGTGTGTGTGTGTGTGTGTGTGTGTGTGTGTGTGTGTGTGTGTGTGTGTGTGTCATCATACATTAATTAACAACACACATACATCTGGGACATGATGGTTCAACAAACAGAGTCTACACACTGCAAATTGAATAGTGTATGTGAACATCAATAATGTCTAGGTTGCTGATATTGACCATTTTATTGTGTGCACGGATGACAGACACACTAAACATACTAACCTCTGTTGGTTTGTAGCAGTCTATTAATGATTCCTGTGCAGGGAGAGAAAACAGAGAGAGGTGTTCAGGGATTAGACTTGTCTTCAATTCACTGCAGCTCCTGGACTTTTCTTTTTTCTTTTTCTTTTTCTTTTTCTTTTTCTTCTTTTTTTTCTTTTTCTTTTTCTTTTTCTTTTTCTTCTTCTTTACAAGTAGTTGTAAATGTATAAATCTACATTTGGGTTCTGTCTTGTTGGTGGTTGGTGTATGGCTTTTGCTTATGTGGATAGCCGTTTCAAATGTAGATGAAATAATGTCACCTTCCAGTACAGTCAAAATGGAAGAAAATGCTTTGGTATCAGTCTGCCAGAACTGAAGTGTCTTTGAATGAGAATCATACAGGGAGAAATCCAACACACACTTTTTTTTTTTTTTTAAAAAGGCAGCGATACCAATTTCTCCACTGACTGGAGACTCAGTAGACCAGCATGCAAGACTTTTGGTGTATCCCATGTGGAAAACCTGATGTGTAGCTCTGAAGGTGCATTCAGACAGAACAAGAAGCATAACTGCAAGCCGGTGGAAAGACAGGAGTTGGTTAATGTCTGTTCACAGGGGGATGAACAAAAACTGCACAAAACATCCAGCAGTCAACGTGATAACCGGCCTCAAGTTCTGTCTGAACACACTTGTAGTCTATTATTATTGTATGACCCACTGATAAAGAAAGCCAAAAGAGAGATTTTAATAATAGTTAATTAATAATAGAAATCATTGACTGTGTAGTATTTATGTATGTATGAGTTATGCTCAATCACACAAGTCTATAGGTCTTGGCAGCACAGAACATTACAGCTTGGTGATATAAAGTGCAACTCTTTCCTTTCACTTCTAAATCCCCTATACATTGACACTTGCATTGTATATTCCACTGGTGTTTGCTAAAAATAGACATTTGGATACAAAGACAGACACACACAGACACAGACACGGGGGTGTACCTGCAGTTTGCTGGCTCTCTCGTCGTCACTGTTGACCTCCAACAGGTCATCGATGTCTATCTCCACCTCTGGCATCTCCTCCTCCTGGAACATAAAGACGATCTTGGTTAATGAGCTGCGGAGACAGAGGCACGTCAGGAAGACAAGGACGTACAAGAGGAGAGGATGTGAACAGGAAATTGAAATGGAAAACAAAACAAAACAAGAAGCTTTGTGTTGGAATGACCACCTCCAAACACTGATGCATATAATTAATATTGTAACGTCCTTTTTCTTTTTGTGACACCAAAATCAACCCCAATTACACGCTTTCTCTCACTTTCAGTTCCTTCATTTCAACTCTCAGCACGAATCCAAGTCTGTATTTAAAACACTGTTTCTACGTCCCTTCACTCCAAGCTCCAAACAGCTCAAACATACTGTATATTTGCCTGTGAGGAGCAGACATCATATGGAAATGTCATTGCGCCGGGGCAGGGCCATTTAGTGGCTCGGTGGTTAGAGGCTGTATTCAGCTCAACACCACTTCAAAAGGTCCTGTGTTCCTCTGGTTCATTTTCTTCCACCACAAGGCTTGTGCAGAGGAGGTATGCAGGGAGGATCAACCCTTCCCTCCCAGCTACCGCATGATGCATCCTCCAAACTCTCCCTTCTGGGAATTACAGCCAAAGAAACCATGTAAAAGTGCAGCTTCTTCATCCAAGTAATGGCCTTTACCAACAGCTGAACTGCTCACTGACAGCATACTGGATGATTGCAGCAATTTCACCCCAGTGTACCTTGGAAATATGTTCATACTGGATGATCCCACACTTCACGATTTAAGTCCAACATTCAGTGCCAGTGCAGGGAGTAGTATGCCCTTTATGTACTGAGGTGGAAAGAGAGGGTGTGTAGGTAAGGGTGGTGGATTGTGATTGTTGCATATCAGACTTTCATGCAGTAAACCACAGTTTTTATTATAGGCCTGCAATTAATGTTTGCCTTTTAATTAACTGCAGTCTTTTCCTATTCTTATCCATCCACATTTTTTTTCCATAGCCATGATCTTATCCGAACCTTGACTATATCAGAGCTGCGAGAATTTCAACAACACTGGCATCAGACCAACAAAAAAAATGTATTCTGGGGTTCACCATCCCTTAGGGATTAAAACTATAGGCATCTATTTGCAGAAAATAAACAAGCCAACTATAGGCCCAAAGTACACGACTGGCTGATGATGAACATGATGATAAGTATATGGAGTCTTGTGGCGCCATTTCATTGCGTTGTCTCTGTCTCTGAACGCCGTATGATGCAACACAAAGTTCAGACCCGTTTCATTTTCTGTATTTTCTATTGCCTCTCAAAGAATTATGGGTTCGCAAGCAACATGGGAGCGACCTGAAAAAAGGGAGTTATTGAAAGCTGAAAAGCAAATTAAGTTGACTTTGCAGCAATTTTCTGAAAAATAAGGAAAAAAGAAAAAATGATGTAATGGTGGGTCAGGAATATTAATTTTTATGTTTGCCAAAGAATAAGTCACATACTAGCTCGAGAGCAGTGGCTTGGCCACAGCAACGAGCAAGAAGTGGTGCAGGCAATTTGTTTGCTTTGGGTGGGTCTCCCTAAGACCCTTGTTTTCTGATAATACTTCATTTCTGTGGTATCTCTGAATGGAAGGCTATGTGCCATGAACCATGTGGGCCTTAACCTACACCAAAATAAAAAAAAAAAAAGTGGTACTCCAGAGAAGCCCATTCTATTATTTACTTCAGCTGGAAGGCTCAGGCTCATACATAGTGAACATAGTCATTGACCGCAAACGTGACTGAAAGATTTAACACCTTCTTGCTGGGTGCATGCTGTCGAACATTCCTGGACCACAATACTAAAACTGACTCTAGCTCTTAGTTGTGTGTGTGTGTGTGTGTGTGTGTGTGTGTGTGTGTGAGCCTCACCGAGGACTCCTGTATGCTTTAGCCTGGAGCGTGCACTGGTATTCAGACACAGGAACAGGGAGGATGGAAGGATGATTTGATTTTAGCTCTCAGCATTAAAGCTCAGTCACTGTGATTTCAGTTTTGCGTGGGTGGGTGGATGTGCACAGAATGGAATTAGCTCACAATTATACCTCTGAAATTACAATACCAAATGTACAAGACATTGCAAGAGGCAAGAGCGGTACATTATGTGCTGTATGTTTGACAGCATGACTACAGAGGAATTACTGTACCGAGTGCAACTGAGGTTTTTTATAGGCCTATAAATGATTAACTGTGAATATGAATTTAAAAAAAGGAATGTGCAACATGGAGACCTAAACTCATAACTCTTGTTTACACAGTAAAAAATTCCACTTGACATGTGTGACACTGATACCTGGCTCATACATACTGTATCTCATCTGCATTAGTTCACTCACACACTTAACACTCATACAAACGCTTACACACATAGCTAGTCCACCTTCATCCTTATTCCTGAGCTGTTAAGAGGCATTTACACAACCAGCATTTTAAGCATCTCGGTCTCTCTAAAGACTAGCTGAGCGTCCCCTTCGACATCTTGCTCTGAAATCTCTCTCCGTGTCTTAGTGAGAGGGTCTTGCACTGAAATCCCCCCTCGTTAAGGAAATGGAAAAGAGAGACGGAGAATTGAGGGGAATGTGGCAGAACATATCAAAGCCTGTCATCTATTAGTATTGGAGTGCAAGCGTGGTGCAACCAGAGGACTGAGGTTATATGCAAATGCAAAACATCAGAGGAGAGATGAGCTATTTCAAACTGAGGAAAGGAGGAAGAAATGGATGAAGGAGCAGAGAGAGAGAGATGGAAAGAGAGAGGAGGCAGTTGTGGTGTGTAGAAGGGAGGAAATGATAAAAATAATGCTGTTGCCATTTGAAATTCTCATACTATTAGTGTTTGTATTTTAACTTTTTGACATCTGTTATATCACATAAAATTATTAAATTTTGCAATATTATTAGAAAATAAAACATAATTTGCAAGAAGAAAACAGAGGTAGCCTACAGGTACAAACCGAACCTCAGTGACTGCAATTTGGCTAAGCTAGCTTGTGAGCCAGCCTAAGCTAATTTACCCATTTTTTCCTTTTTCCTGTTCTCTCCTGTAATTGAAAACTCAATTTGATGCTCCAACATTTTAGAAGTTTGTTTTAGCACATAAATAAAGAAGTAGCCAAATCATTACAGAGAAAAAAAAAGTAACACCAGATAAACTAGTCCTGCCAAAAGGCCTAGCTTAGCAGAGTAGCAGTAACTGCCATCTCTGCTTTCTCTGACTATGGTGAAATTAACATGATTTGAAACAACGGCATCTTTAAATCACATATAAAATGTATTAAAAAAAATCACATTGACAAGGAAAAATTAACAGATTATGTTTGTATACCGTGTTTTAGCTGCTCTTAGTTAGCTACTGCTTTCTTGTAACAGGTTGAAAAGCATCATTTGGGTAGAACAACTGAAATGTCAATCCACTATTTTCTATGCTGACAGATTAGGTGAAGCAGTGCCCAGAATTTCAAGGCAATGGCAAAAACGAGGGATGAGATGTGTAAAAAAGCAATAGGCCTAGTGGCTGGTGTCCCGCTCGCATACTGTGCTCTGCTGGTTTCCATACAGAGAGAAGCTTCAACCTAATAATAGAGATGAATAAGTGAATTAGAATGAGTAACAGTCAGGAGGGGGAATTTAACACACTGACCTACTTCTTAAGGGGGTTGAGGGCAAAGGACAATGTTATCTATCTATCCATCCATCCATCCACTTATTTGGGTGCATAATTTCGAGATGTGCTCAAACGCTAACTATTACATAGCTTGCGTACAACTTCATCAATTTCATCCAGTTTTGCCGCCAACTTACCAAAATCCAAAGAATCTCCAAACAGGGCTTTTTTTAGATTGCTTGGAGCGCAAATCACTATCTTTGTGGTGGAGTTGGTTTGTGAACTCTCTGCCATCATTATCACATGTTTGTTGTTGAATTATTTGCTCTTTTCAGTTTGACCCACATTTCCTTTTTTTCCAATCAGTGAAAGTGACTTTGTGTGACTCCTGTCCATCATGCAGTGCATTCAGTGCATGTCACGAGGCAGACAGCTGTGGTAGTGCCGCTTTGTTTTTTCGCTTTTTTAATTTTCACAAATCGAATTTAGAATATTTTTTGAGCTCTGGTCAGTCTGCCTAGTGTTAATGTTTGAGAGAGTGTGTGTGTGTGTGTCCCTGACAATTCCACTTGTCAGCAGGCAGTCCGTCACCCTCTGTCACTGTGATTGGTGATGACTAGGGAAGCATGGCCTGTGTGTGAAGCATGACTGCAGGCAATCACAGACGACGTGCAAGTCTTCTCACACACACACACACACACAGTTTTTTTTTTTTTTTTTTTTTGCCACCATCAATCATCTGCAGAGAACTGCTCACCACAGGGCCTTGTCTCTCTGTGGAGCTTGTGAGAAAGTACCTAAGTGTGTTAAATATACTCCATGCAATGACAAGAATGGAAACACACTTGCACATTCACACACTTAACATGCAGATCAACACTGAAGTTGTTGTCGTCCTGCTGGCGATTGAGAGCCTAAAATAGGTGAGGTCACACCCACCACCCTAGGGAAAATAATTTTCCATCTTGCCAGCAGTGGGGTGATAAAATGACAGTGCACATTCTCAGGAGACAGGAAGGGACAACCTGAGACACACAAACACACAGAAATACATCCAAAATAATGAAAAATAAGATCTGGTTTAGATAGAGGCATAGGTTCAAAAGGCATCCATACGAATCATACAGAACCTCATGCTAAAAATATTTACTTTATGGGAGATATAGCTAGGTGTCTTTTTTGTTGTTTTTAATATGATCTCAGGCAGCCAGAAAACAATAGAAACCAGACAGAAATAAAGGAACAAGATGCCTGACAGCATGCACTTGTTCAAGAGAACCACAAGGAGACAGAGAATATCTGATGCAAACAACATACAATTTCTACCTGTGTTGTTGAGCATGTAGTACGTTCACATAGGAAACACAGCAAAGACAATATACATGAACAATTCTAGCATGAAAACAAAAA